CTTGGGGGTGGTGGTCTCTGGCTCCTTGGGGGTGGTGGTCTCTGGCTTCTTGGGGGTGGTGGTCTCTGGCTCTTTGGGGGTGGTGGTCTCTGGCTTTTTGGTGGTAGTGAGGGCAGGGGCTTTGGTTGTAGTTTCAGCTTTGGGTGTTGGTGAAGGTGCTTCAGGTGTGGGTGCAGACTCTTCATTGGATGCTTTCTCTGCACTCCGTGTTTCTTTAGCTGAAACAGTCTTCTCTTTTGTACTTGTTGAGGTCTGTTTACTTGTTGAACTAGCCTCTTTAGTTTCTACTGTTGTCTCTTTGTTGGCTGTAGAGGATGCCTCTTTGGGCGTGACTTTAGCAACACTTGTATTAGGATTAGGTGGAAGACTGGGTTTAGGATTTACTGGTTTTGCTGTTGTGATCTTTGGAGATGTGGTAACTTTATTGCTCTGGGTGGTAGAAATGGAAGGAGTAGAAGTAAGCTTGAAATCACCATTATCCAATCCACTTCCACCTTCATCTACAACTGGTGGTTCTGGGGTAGGGGTCTTTTTTGGAGTTCTTTTCTTCTTGTTATCTTTTGCTAGAGAAAAAAAAAATAATACATCTTGTGATTTTTTTTTTGTCGTTAACTTGATACAAAGATCTCATCTGTAATATATCTGTGTTTCTAGACAAATTATTAACTTTTAGTAGGTCCTCATTTATTGTTAAATGAAACATATTAATCTTACTGGACTGTTTTAGGAAGTACATAAGGATGAACATCCCAAGTAAACTGTACACGATTAATCCCTGGAAGTCAGTGGCAACTTTGAAATTACAAGCATAAATTAATCTCTTTACATTAATACCCTTTGCTCTCTCCTTTATCGTTTTTGTTTCTTATCACCCAGTACACTTTGCTCCCCCTGAAAATCCAATTCCAATATCTCCAAATTTTCTTATAACAATCGAGTCTGAAGCTTCTACAATTTTGATAACCCCTGTCCTGGCCAAGCCATGTCCCTGTAGATACCTGGTGTTAGCTACTCTTCTCTTTCCCTCTGCTCATCTGAATATGGCACTGCCACAGGAAGTACAAAGTGGATTAGGATGCCATGACAGCCAAAAGATCCTTTTTAAAGGGATTTCCCATAGCTAAAATGTAAGCTGCGCTGCCGGCCCAAAAGTTTATGTTTTAAATCTACCAGCTGCTCCACAGGAAAAGATGGCAGTCAACTCCTGTGCAATTTACAGCCTCTGAAAAACCACCAGAGGGTCAGCGCTGGACCAGTTCCAATTTGATGGTACTTAACAATAACAACCTGGTAAACTGCAGAGCCTAAGTGGCACATCGCTAAGCTGAATGTCATTTAGGAAACAAATATTATACTTCTATGTGTGCAAGAAACCGGATGATTCAATGACTAGTATCTACTTCAGCTAGAGGGAAAAGTTTCAGAGGAGATCACAACCACCCAGGAAAAAGAGCTTTTCATAAGTCCAGTAATATATCTCCCGGAATAATAGAACCTGTTTTAGGATTTGAGAAAGTTAACAAGTAACAGAAGAGTGGAAGACGTCTCTTTCCAGGATATAACAGCCTACTCTCTAGTATATCACCTACTAGGGGGGGAAAAATGAACCAAATATGACATGCAATTTATTAGGAAAATAATAAAGAGGATCTATTAGTGGAGATAAAAATAATTCATAGAAGCTCAAGAGAAACGAATTCTTATTGGTAAAACATATCAGCAGCAGCTAAGTGTTAAACAAACCTGGGGAAGGAAAAATGAAAACACAAGAAAGAAAGAGGAAGAACAAGAAGAAAGAGCAAAATACAGTAGAAAGGAATTGTAAAATAGAATAATCATGTCAGGCTACCCTCTGGTTCCACACTTGTTTTTACAATATCTTCTTAGCTTTTGTTTTTTAGAGTTGTTTCCAGTTGCTTGGTATGAAATTCGTATAGGAAGAACTCTTTGGTTATCTTCGAAAGTAATTGCTACAGAATTTATACCACCCCCATTCTACCAACACACATTGCTTTTAAAGTGTTATTCTTAGCATGGCATTGATATAGTCTTTGATCTTTATCAATGCTCAAACCTTTGGGCTTCTTCTTTAATTCTGAATTAGCAGCTGAATTTTTGGAAGACTTGACTTTCCGAATACTTGAAGAGGAAGAAGAGGAGGAAGAGGAGGACTCTTGATTTTCAGAAACAGAATGTTCTATAAATCAAATGAAAAGGTTGATCACACGAACTGTGATTTAAAACAACAGAAGAACCGCCAATCCAAACACAATAAGAATTGCTGTTTTACTGAACTATAAGAATCTGTATTCTGCTACTATTTATTTCATCAGTAATATGATCAACTGCCTTTTTAATTTGTTAGTTAAAGCAGGCATCTAACTATTAGATAGCCAAAAAACCATTTTTCTATGTAAAAAATTTCTTGAAGAATCTATTCTGTAAAGAAGAACATTGACTTTTTTCTTTTTTTAACATAATATTTACCCTTTTGACAATTTTAGCCTAGACCTATGCAGCATTTGGTAAAAAAAGGAAAGCGTGTAAATACCTAAGGGTTTATGCTTTTGCTTAAATTTTAATTTGAAGCAAGAAAAACTTTAAAAGGAAACAAAAACTGTAACAAGCATTTTAATGACTTACAAGATTACCCTGTTCTCTGAGGAAAAGGCAGTCTTATATAAGTAGTCCACGGGTTGTCTTATATAAGGTGATTTCATCTAAGAAATCCTCCTTTTGCTGTATCTATCACCTTCCTACCTTCTGTTATTTCCTCTGATTCTATAACTTTCTTAGTCTTCTTCTTGTTTGGTGATTTAGGTGAACGTTTGGTGGTTGATTTGATGGGGTGAGATGCTGCTGGAGCCGGACGAACAGTCTTTGAAGCTGGTGGTGATGTGGGGTTATGCACTGAGGCCAAGCAAGACAAATGGGTTAACATCCTGTTAACATTCATCAGCAAGTCTAAATGGTGAAAAGCACTGAAACATCTGTATTCAACAGCAAATGCTGGTGTAAACCAGTGCAGGCCGACTTGACTCCAACCCTTAAAACTCCAAACTAACTAATTCCAAGCAAACATACTATAAAAGACCATTTCATAGATTGCTGTAAATTATGACAAGGAGAAATATTTCAAGAGTGAGAGGGCCTGAATTCCAAGCTTAGACCTGTGAGGCTAATATCATTGTGATCTTTGTCTAATGGGTCAGACTCCTTCTGAATTTTGCTTACTTGTGTTCAAACAAAGTATTTATTCTAGATGATTTCTTTTTTTAAGTTTATTATTAATTTCAATAATCAGTTTTTTATTCTGTGAGCCTGATCTCAAGTATTATTAAAAGTAATACTATGTATAAATGAAAATTTTTTTTCTGTTTTCATATCAGTTTAAATAAAATGATATCAATTAGCATTGTGTTTGTGTTTTCTGTAACTAAAGTTCTACATTTATCAACTTCTGTGGAAATTTTACACCTTCACGTTTTGCTTTTCCTTAAAATGTGTTGCCCTTCATAAAGATAAACAGCTGTTAATGGATTGCTGTCTATCTTTTTAAACTATTTGTTTCTCTGCCATCTTTTTCATGTTTAGAAGAAAATACATTTTTTTATCACTGGGAACCAGAAAAAAAGGAATAGGACTTCTGGTAGATAAGAAAGCAGAAAACAATCATTACTTTCTGGGTAGAGCAGAATTGTGGTAAGATATCATGCTCTTCCAAACATCTCAGAACTCTACTGTTCTTAACTCCACAAATTGACAACTATACTTTCCCTTCCCTCTCCCCACACCTAACAAGACTCAGTTTGAGACACACTCCTGCTGTGTCTTAGCTAGTGATGCTGGGAAAATCCATGAACCATTTGGGCTGAGTTTCCTTAGCCACATTATGCAGAGATTGAACGGCTTTGGTTCCATCAACTGTTGACATGCTATGATTTTAAGTTATATAGACATATCGACATGCAGTATTTGTAGCAACACAGGAACAACTAAGCAGTGAATCTCAAAATAGTTGTCTTGTTATTTTTAAAAACAAATCCTTGGAACCCTGGGAAGTTCCTTTCTTTTCTCTCAGAACCAAACCATCTCTGTGAACTCTGCAAATAAAGTTGCCTACTCTTGCTCCATCTATTTCTCTGTCCCCCTTGGAGTTCTGTTTAAACATCAAGTACTTGACCTAAATGCCCAGGAGCATGAAGCCTTGTTCTTATTAAGATGCACCCTCAAAATTTCATCACTCCTGTTTTCTCCCCCCACTTAATCTTTGTGTCCAAAATAAATTTTCTCTTTTTGTCTCACAGCCAAAACCATTATCAGGGCGATGAGTCAGTGTGTATCACTCATTATAGGTCCTCTGTAAGCTGCAAGAACTTTGTGCTCTGGATTTTTTATTATAAGGGTGTATACTCAATGTTTTGGCATGCTTTCCAACAATAACATTTAACAGTTAAGAAACAATCTTCAGTTATGCTGATGAACAATTTTCCACCCTATTTTTCTCCCCGTTCTAAAGCAGGAGGCACAAACTTGTTTAAATAAAATAATAAGATTATGCAAGTAATGTTTATTTTTCACTTTCCCTCCACAAGTATTTTATCTTCAATTTTACCTCCACAAACATTCTTACTTTAACAATGCAAAATGTTTGAGAACAAACATTTTAGGGTTTGTTTTGTGTTTTAAAAGTGGCCTGTTGTTTAAGGGTGTTTTTAGAATTCTTTTTCAAAGAATGAAGGCTTTTGTTAGATTGTTATATAGCTAACTCCAGAGCCTATAACCAGAGAAGAGGATTTCAAAATTGGAATATCTGTATTATTGATTCTAAGGGAACACTACGAGGAACATTAGTGGCCTCATAGTTTAGTGTGAACTCTGGTGGCCAAGTGAGAAAGAGCTGTGCTGTCAATGAGAACGTATGGGGTTAGAATCCACCAGTGGCTCTGAGGGAGCTGGACTGATTACCTTCTCTTGTGTGAGTTACTGTCTCTGAAAACTCTCTGGAGGGTCAGGTTCCCACTGGATGCACAATGACAACAACTAACTGCAAGTTCAGATCTAATAGTTGCTTTGTGATAGATGTGACAGTCTGCAACTATAAATAACATAGTCTTGGAAAGTCTATGGGGCAGTTTCCCTCCATCCTACAGGATCATTCTAGTCAGAATCAATTCGACAGTAATGAGATGAAACAGCCATTTGTGCAGAAACTGCTGGAGGAACTTCAGCGCTAGGAAGGAAAATTCAGCTGAAAGTTAGCAATGTCTTCAAAGTTTGACTTGCAAATTTCAGTGGCTTAAATAGATTCATATATTTACTTGCTCTGAGAAGCTGAGTGTGTGGATGCTGCCCTTTAATATCTTAAACACTGAGATCAAAATCACAGAGAACTCAAAGGACAGTTGGCTTTGTGGAATTAGCACCATTCGAATGAGACAGGAAACCACGTGTGAATTGGTTACTCTTGGCTTAACCTGGAAGGAAATCAAACTGGAAGCATGAAAGCAGGCACATGTGCAGTCTTGTTCTGTCGCCTTCTTAACCCAGCCGCTTTGTGTGCTGGTTGGCAGAGCGGGAGGGCTACTGGAAGAGACTCTCTTTATTTAATTAATCTCCATGAAATAAAATTACTATGGAAGAGCTTAGCTGTGAGTAAAGTCAAGGCCCCTGGTGGACTGCGTGTTAGAAGGTAAGGTAGGCGCACTAATCTTGGCATATTAAGATACCCGTTGGTAGACCCAGAGATAACGTACCTTCTTCACAGAAGCTCTCATAATCTGGGCAGCACTTGCCATACTCCTTACATTGTGAGTCACAGTCACATTCTCTCCCTCGCACAAAAGACTCGAAGCAGCGGCCTTTACAAGAAAGCTCTATCCAGAACAAAACGGAACATGAGTTATTGAGGGCTCTGCAAAGTCTGTGTATTGGTAGCCATATCCCACCACATAATTGGTTAGTGTTCCAAAAGTGTACTTTCAAAGTCCATTATTTAAAATTTGGGTTCATCATTAAGTAAAACATTTAGAGTGTCTCAAGTGGAGGAAGTCCAAGTCAACAAGCAGTATGGCAATTTAGGGAACTTTTCTTGCTCTTCATGGCTTCAAGGATGGCCAAGTGCTTCTTGAGTCATTTATGAATACAATGGACAATTATGAAACCTGTAAACAATCATGCATCCTTCATATGACAGCCCTTGGTCTTTCTCTCATTACACCACTGCTTTGTAATATTGACTATTCGAGTCAAAAATATATTTCAACTAACTGGCTTAAGATAAATGAGTACAGGCTTGAAAATCCTTTGAAATGCAGAAATCTTCACTGTAGCAAATTTAGCAAAGAATAGGAAGGTGTTCATTCTAATCTCATGGCCTAAACTAAGAGAAAGCTCTCTCTCTCTCATTGCCATCAGGTTGGAACCAATTCATAGCTGACCTTCCAGTGAGTTTTCAGAGGCTGCAAATGGACAAAGAAGATATTTCCCATCTTTCTTTCTCAGAGCAGCATTTGGATTCAAACACCTTGTCTTTGAGTTGTCACTGCAACTCTTTACCCCCTGGGCCACCAGAACTCCCTACTCGTTAAAAAATACACAAAAACCTGCTTACAGATCCAGTGAGTTACAAAAGTCCTGTTTGAAGCTGTTAGAGAGTTCTGGTGGCACAGTGGTAAGGAGTTGAGCTGTCAACCAAAAAGCACATGGTTCAATTCCACTAGCTACTTCCTGGCAGAAAGAAGAGCAGTCTCCACCTATGCGATTTAGAGCCTCTGTGAAAACCTGCTGGCGGGTCAGTTATGGATCACTTCTGACCTGACAGCATGTAACAACATAATCTTATACAAAAATACAATGCAACAACATACTTATTGGCTTTACATGTAAATTCTAGAGTAAATGAAACATTTTAAGAATTTTAATCATAATATTCACACATTGAATGAGAAACGGTTCTATGTTAATAACAAAATGGCCCCAAATGTGTTTAAGTGAAATAGTATTCATAATCTAAAATTTAAGACACTTTGAATTACAACTGAAGCTCAACTCAGTATTAGACATTATAGCTAAAATAAAATAATTAAAAGGCTTGCCCCCCTCTGTACAATTATATTATTGGTTCTTAGATAATTGCTTACTCATTACTAGTTACTGTCATATAATCAATAATAACTAATAATGAGAATAGAGCAAAGTTCATATCTGTTGTTCATAGGGTTTCTGTGAGTTGAAGTTGACTCAGCAACAACTAACAAGAACAGTGGATGACTGGGTGACTTGTATTTAAGGTGCTGTTGAAAGCAGGATATCTCTGGATGATGTAAACAACTAGTTTTCTCAGCTATTATCTCATATTCACCCAGAGGCACTGCTGAAGATAGATTTGGTAAGCTACTTCAAAAATCAGTTGATAAAATACTATGGAGGAAAAAAAAATTATGGAGCACGATTTTACCCTAGTACACATGTGTTTTCCTTGAGTCAAAGTCAACTCATTGGTGATTGATTTTGGTGGTGCTGGTTTCAGACAGGGCATTTTAAAGAGAGATAACCAATAAATGATGGCTTTCCCCTCACCCTCTCCCAGTGACCACAAGCTTTGACACCAATCTTCAGCACAGCACAAGGCAACATTTATGCAAGTGGAGGGAAAGACACTTAAGCAAAAGATACGAAGTAGTGTGAGAACAACTCTGCCAAGAGGGCACCAGGAAGCTTCGCAGGACAGTGAGGCTTGGCAGAGGAGACATCAGACTTTAGAACTTACCCTTGGTGCAGACTTTCTTGAAGTCAGGGCAGCACTCCATGTAGTGTTGGCAGTTATAATCACAGTTGCAGGCAGCATCTCTAGAATACCCTTCCCCACATCTCCCTGCACAGCTTGATAAATCTAAAATTATACAATACTAGGGTAAACATGGCCAGATCACTTTGTAGAAAGAGAACTAGCTAATGGGGAGGGGGACATAACTGGTTAGTGAGGAAACATTTTAACGACTGGAAAAACTATAGGCTCGGCTGCTCTCTAGCTGATCTTACTGTGACCTTGATCATGCTTTTTTTTCTTTTCTCCCTGAAAACTAGACAGGGTGTTGCATAAGAGGGTGGTCTCCTGGGGAAATGGGAAGGAGTGGCAATTACAGCTAATATTGATGCTGTTATTAGGATCTTTACCAGTTTCCATTTTCCTTGAGCTGGGCATTGCATCCTACATTATTCTCAGAAACTCAAAGTCATTGCCATAGAGTCAGAACTGACACATAGACAACCCTCCAACTGGTTTTTGAGGCTGTAAAACTCACAGGAGGAGATTGCCCGTCTTTCTCTCTTGGAGGCATTAATGGATTTGAACCACCAGAGAAGCATGGCCTTTGGGTTAACAGCACAACTGCCTATGGACTATTCCACCCTAGTGCTTATAAAGATGTTTCCATGTATTTCTATCCCCTTTCAGAGACAAGGAAGCTAAAACAGAAATTTAAGTGACTTTCTTACGGGCGTACAATCAGTGCATAATTCTAGCGTATAAGTTTATAAACTTACAGCCTTGTATAAGTTTAGAGGTCAGTTAATGCTATGAATTATTATTACTGACTCATTTTCCACTCCAAAATATTCCAATTTTTGTACTCAATTATCTGGTCATCCTAATCTAAATAAATACTCCAGCATCTGAACACTTACTAGCCTAATTCTAAATTCCCTGTATTTCCCACTCAATCACGTCGTCTTTCATGCCTGATTAATGAATTTAAAGCAGGGTGGTTATTCCAGAAGGAGCCAGAGTGTCACACTGGTTAAACACTCAACTGCTAATTGAAAAGTTAGCTCTTCCAACCCACCACCTGTTGTGTGGGAGAAAGACATAGCCATCTGCTTCTATAAAGGTTACTGCCCTGGAAACCAGGTGGGGAGGTTCTACTCTGTCCTACAGGGTCACTGTTAATAAAAATTGACTCCGTGGGTTTTGGGTTTGGGGATTATGACAGCACAGACTGTACTAGAGCCCCTCTTTTCATCAGTGCTTGTAATTACTTGTAAAGTGAGGATAACTCTTGAAATCTCATCTAAACATGAAAATGATACTTAGAGTTTTCCTGGGAAATAAACCAAGGACAAGAGCACAATTACTAGATGTTTTTTAAAATTACTTGGGAGATAACCTCCCTGAGAGATAAGCATCGGACTGTAACAATAAAATTCATCTTAGGAACAGATTGGCAGGGACAACGTTCTAAACCCATGGATAGACGATGAAACATGCTGAGGAAAAAATCTCAAAATGATAAGTCCAGGAAAGTTAAAGTCTTAATATACAAATAAAACAATAAAGATTAGAACAACTTTCAGAGTTATTTTGCATACAAAATGTGCACAATACATACAAAAATGCATATATAGTGTATGTATATAAATACATATATTATATATAGAAAGAGAAAAGGAGACTGAAAAGAGGTTGAAGAAAAAGCAGAGAAGCAGACAAGACAAAAATCAAATGATTATCCTTTACAAGTATTAGATTTCTGAAACAAATAAATCATCTTTACAGGGAAAAGTTTAGTTTCATGAATCAAATGTCCTATGGTTAATTGCTTTTATCTTAGCCATTAATTTAAATTTCATTTCTTTAATGGAAAGTAAAATTTTTAGTGAGAAACTGATTATATTACAGAGGAAAAAGTAATTAGGAAACATACTCAGCTTATTATATTTGTGATATTATTTTAACAGAACAGAAGATAACAACATCATTATCCCTCTTTCCTAAATATGCATATATACTTTCACGCTTTATCCATCTTTTCTTATCTAAGCAATTCTGGAATTCTTTTATGATTAGAATTTTAGTTATCTTAATGGAACTATCTACCTTAGCAATTTCAACCATGAGTCTTGATTTTTTCTTCTCTCTGGTTGTTTTCAAGTGAATGAAGGGAAAGAAAAATCCAGAACCCACCTTTATTACTCATAATCAGCCTAGATCATGTGCTTTTGCTAATGGGTTTTCGATGAATGCACCATAACCTGTTCTTTGCAATGTGAAGAACAAGAACCATTCATCCAGAACTGACTCTGTTCTTGGAGAAGTGTGAATAGTTCAGTGCTACAGTACAAGATGGTATTCCCACCTGGGTGAGTCCACACCTGCATACATTCTTAAAGAAAGATAGAACACTTTTGAGATTAATAAAACGCCATTTAAAACCAGTAAATGTTTGTTATGACATGGTACTTATGTCTACATGATGCCAAAATAAGTTACTTGCAAAATTGTTTATTTGATGTAGAAGACTAGTTAAATTTCTTTTTAAAGATGCAAGGAAAAATTATGTACTACTTAAATATTTGTCTTCTCAGTCATTTTGGTGTATTTTGTAAATTTTCAGAAGAATCACATGGCGGGGGAATGAATACCCAATTTGCTCTATACATAGAGCTCACTCTTCTTGAAAGATTTCATGATACAAAATAAAACAAATGAGAATCCCAGAAGGCTTATATTGTTACATGTTTTATGTGAATTTTAAAGTTATAATAGTTATTAAACTGGAAAAATATATCAAATATTAGAAATCTATTTCTTCTTGTCATGAGAAAAAAATCGAATAAGCAACAGCTGTTGAATACAAGGAGCTTTGATGGAATAAGTACCTTGAGAAGAAACTTGCTGAATCAGGAAAACAGAAAGCAGCAGCAGCAGCAGATGTACAGGAAGAATTCCCCACTTCATGGTTGTTTTCTGATGCAGAACCTTTGCTGAAAATCAAATGGAACCATTGAAAAACTCCTCCTTAATCTCAATGGTAGCATATGTCCTTGTTACATACAATATTTCAGGAGCCTTCACAACAGAATCTAATAATAAAACCATACTATCCTTGAAAGGAGGCTTCTAAAAAAGTAATCCTTTATCATTAAAAAAATTATCACTTGCTTTAATTGCATGCAGAGAATATGCTCTAGTTGCTATGCCAATCCTGTTCCTGACCCTCTTTATCTCTTTAAAATCCTTAGCATCTACTTACAGATTTCAGTCTTATCTTGAAGAAAGAAAAATAATCTGCTTCAGCAAAGTTTAGTTTAATAAATAAAAAGTAGTTGTTCCAAATTTCCTTTAACTGTTTATAAATTTATAAGCTTCCAACAGGTGCATTACAAAATTTGAGTCTTTTCTAAGCTTTCCTACTACTCTCCTTGTAAATCTTTCAAAAATGCTCTTAATAAAGCATATCTCTATTGAACTACAAAGCACATTTAAACCCACGAGAAGCCAGTTAACTTTGACACTTACCTGTCAAAGAATAAATGAATCCCTCCAGTGTCCGAGGAGTCTTATATATCAAGGCAAACAAGCTGGGAAGGCCAATCAGCCCAAAGGTTAGACAGAATCAACACTGACAACCTATGAAATCAATCTTTCCTCATTTATTGGAAGAAGGCCCAGACGACTAGACTTAGGCAACATCTGGAAAACACTTCCATTAAGAAAAATGACTACTACAAAATAAATTTAGATTTATTGGCCAAAACACACTTCTGATTTCTAAGTGAAGTGGACAAATTGTTCTAAGACAGTAAATAGCTGTGGCAGGCTTTGACCTGGGTGTTGAAGCTGCCACTGTGAAATCGACGAGTGCTGGTGGTTTTGCTGTCTTTCTTTCTGTTTCTCTTTCTTTTCCCTTTCTTTCCTTCCTTCCTTTTCTAAATGTTAAATCCAGCAATGAATAATTTTGAAACTTAATGTGTCTGCTGTTACAAATTTGGGGAACTCATACCTTTCAATCAAATGTACATTTTCCCTTTTTATCTGAATTTGCTATTTTCACTGAGCACAGAAAACCTGCTCTCAACTCGATTCAGGTATATTCTTCACACAGTAGATCTTCCAGTTCGCTTTACCATGGAAAAGCCTGCGTTAATATGAGCCTTAGCCTCTTTATTTAAGCCTGGCAGTATTTGGAAAATATCTTGGTTTTCCTTCCTTACCACCAAGAAAACCTGAAACATTAAACCAGCTCATCTTAAGACTCTATGCTAGTTTGATAAAGAATATTGCTGTTCAAATCCTACCTACCATCAAGGTCCAACTTAAGTTGTAACATCTCTTAAGCATTCCAGGATCTGTCAAACCCCAGCCAACAAATTTATCACATTTTACTGAAAGTATCTGCTCTCTTTTCACCGACAGGCTGTGATTTCCCCAACGACGGCCATCACCATCTATGCCTCAGTTTTGTTGGCAACATTTAGTCTAATGCTTCGCAAAGGTTGTGCATTTAAAACATACTTGGACCAAACAGTCATAACTGTCTTCTGCTGTGTAGGCATTTAATTACCACAAAATGCTGTTGAGTTAAACTTGGTAAAACAAATGAAGCTTCATACTTTGTGATCCATCCCTCAATTCATGGGAGTAGAAAGTAGAGCTAAGATACAAAAAAAGGTCTTTTCATTTTAAATTTCATTAAAACAAATTATTTTTTTTCCATTTTCACTAAGCTATATTCAGGTGTATTCATTACCTCTTTGTTGTTGTTTTTGTTGGGTTTTTTGGGGTTTTTTTGTTTGTTTAATTGAACTTAAAATGAAAAGACCTCGGTTCATATCTTAACATTTATACCTGCGCTTTGTGGACCTAACTCTTTTTAGGAGTGTACTAATCTCTTTACTATTTAATTACAGCAGTAAACATTCCTTTTTCATGCATACATGACTTTAAGGGGCTATGTCCCCTTTAAAGACAGCAGCTATAGTTATTTTTCCCTCACAATGATTATTTCTGGGCTAAGAAATTGTCTGCTCAACTCTAATGAGTTCTGTTTTCTGGGAACTATTACCCTCTCCATAAGGGTGCATTCCTATTAGCCATATTTTTAAATATGATCTTCCCCCATTAGACATAATTCATAGAGTTGAGAGTAAAAACCCAAATGGAACAGAGCCCAGTTGTTTTTCTCTCCTAGGACTTTGGAAGAGGAGATGACAAGACTTGGTCTCACTTACTTTGGACATGTTATTAGGAGGGGCGCCAATCCTTGGGTAGAGTTTTTGGCAAAATAAACAGCCAACAAAAAAAAAAAGGGGGAATGAAAGGAAATGGTCCAGTAACTTTAACATGGGCCCTATACTTAGCAGGCAACATTAGGATGGTGCAGTTAACAAGTCATGTTCCAGTCTGTTTTACGTAAGGTTACAGTTAGTAAAACCTAACTCCTCAGCACCAAACAGCAAGAAGAAGTTAGAAAAGCAATTCAGAGATTCCACAGTGTCTTTGGTTATGGACAGGCAGAGGCATCCAAAGGCCTTTTGAAGAAAGAGGTGCCAGTGAATACAGCAGCTTGCAGAGAGGTGCAGAGCAAAGGCCAAGAAATGATTGTTTTCTAGGTTTTGGTTTTTCTTTCCTCTTGAGATTCAGAGATGCCTTCCTCCTCTGAAACTTTAAGGTAATTTTCTTGTTTGGGGCAGGGGTATCTGGTTAATGGTGCGTTCTGTTACTTATAATCACCAGCCAATATAAAATAAATGGGGGGGGGAGGGGAAAGCAACCATTGGGAAAATTCTTATTTTTACTAAGGTCAAGAGAGGGAAGCAATAAGCTTTGCAACTTTCTCAACACAGATTCTTACATTGATAACTTACCATTGATTTAAAATGTTAGGGATATCTAGAATATCAGATTCTGATATAAATATAAAAACGGTCTTAAATAAAAAATAAATCTTTGTGATCATTGCCATTTGGAATAATATGTGCTATCATTTTCTTCCTTTGGGTAGAAGTAATTATAATGATGACAATTGACACTTTTTAATTAATTTAATAATATACTTTAATAATACTTGTTCTTAAATCCAATTTCTAGACTCTAACTGCACATATACAAAGCAAAACATGCACACATAACTGGTATGTAAACTGTAACATCAAGTGTGTATATTAACAGATTCTAGGTGTCATCAAATGTATTGTTAAATTGTTAGCCCTGATGGCCTAGTGAACAGGGAGTTGTGCTGGCAACACAGAAGTATGAGGCTCAAATCCTCCAGCTGAGTAATCTCTTCTAAGAGGCAATTCACAACTTTTTAAAATCTGATGGAGGGTTAACTACCAGCTAGTTCCAATTTGACAGCAATGAGTGAATGAGTGATATAAATAAAGCATGAAAGAGAATGAGAAGCTTTATTGTTAAACACTTAAGTACCTAATTTCCAGTATTCTGCTATTGTTGTTGTTGTTATGTGCCATTAAGTTGTTTGCCACTCATAGCGACCCTATGTACAAGAGCCCTAAGTGCCATTCTAGTTTGTGCCAACCTCGCTGTCTCAAACACATTCATCTCATTGAGGGTCTTCCTCTCCTGCGCCTTCCCTCCACTCTCCCAAACATGATGTCCCTCTCCAAGGACCTGTCACTCCTTGCATCATGCCCAAAGTATGTCAGACGAAGCTTCAGAATCCTTGACTCCAGGGAACATTCTGGCTTCACCGTCTCCAGGACAAACCTGTTTGTTCTCCTAGCAGTCCATGGTATATTCAACACTCTTCTCCAGCACCACAACTCAAAGGCATCAATTCTCTTTCTATCATCCCTATTCATTGTCCAACTCTCCGATGCATAGCACATAATTGCAAAGACTATAGCCTGGATCAGATGCACCTTAGTCTCCAGCCTGACGTCGTTGCTCTTCAGTACTCTTGAGAGGTCCCTCACAGCTGACTTTCCCACTACAATTCATCTCCTGATTTTCTGGCTGCTGTTACCAAGAGTGTTGACTGTGGAACCAAGCAAACTAAAACTGTTAACTATCTCAATCTCTTCACCATCCATACTCATGCTGCCAATTGGCCCAGTGATGAGAGTCTTTGTTTTCTTGATATTGAGCTTCAATTCATATTGAAGACTGCAGTCCTTCACCTTCTGCAACAAGTGCTTCAGGTCCTCCTCAGGTATTCTGCTAGGTAACGTAAAAGCCTTGGTAGATTGATCTGTTGCTAACTGAAAGGTCAGAAGTTTGAACTCACCAGTCACAGAGAGAAAGTCTGCTTCTGTAAAGATGGTGGCAGCCTTCACAAGCCTGCGAGGCAGTTCTGCTGTGCAATATGCAGAGTCATTAGGAGTGTGAACTGACTCCTTGGCTTAGTTATTGGGTAATTAATTTGTTTGTAGAAATAACATTTACCCTTAAAGCACAGGAAGAGTTCTATTTTATCTAGTAAAGGTTTAAAGTGTGTTGAATGCTGTATTAGATGTATATGTGAGCATTTAATCTTCCTTCTTGACACCATAAAATAATTTAATAGAATTATAGAACTGAGACTGCTTTCAGATTGTTTTTTCCTCCTAAAAGTGTTATCTTACTATTCATTTAGCTTCAGCTTAGTGTAAACATTATCCTGGTATTGGCTTTGGTGTGGGGAGACAGGCAGAGATAGCATTTGCTGGTAAGTCAGAATGAGCTCAAAGCTAACTTTCTGGGTTTTAGAGTCTGTAAACTTGCACAGAAGGAGATTGCTCATCTTTGGAGGAGTCAGTGGTTTCAAACCATCTTACTTTGGGTTAGCAGCACAACTCCTACCCATTAGGTCACCAGAGGTGGAGAAGACACATATAACCCGGATCTCACTCTCTTCTAGGGATCATTTCCACACAGAGCACACTCATAAACTCAGCTTCTGGATTTGGCTACCGCACAATGAGGCCTTCAGAGAATATTTGAGTGTGTGAGTGGAC